ATGAACTTGTTAAACATGACTGTTTTCCTTCCAGATGAAGTTCTTTACCCGATTTCTACTTATATTTTTACTTTTAATCTATGTTGTTTTATTATTATTGTGTGGCGCATCTTTCTTGGTGCCATATTGTACCAAGATTTTCTGCGTTTAAATGAATAAATAATAAATTTTGAACCATATCGTCATAATCTTCATCCATTGATTCTTAAGCTCCCGATGACTACAACCAGTGACTTAAGGTTGTAGCAGGCTCAAATCACCTGTCGATGACTTCATTGAATACGGCAAGGTTTTGATTTGACCGTCTTCCTAACCCCTCCCTAACTTGATCCCAACTCGGCTAACATTGCTAGTCGAGGAAGGTGATGGCACCTGTCACAGCCATCTTCAACACCTTATCGATCACCATACTGTCCTTACCTAGCACCTTACACCTAACCATCTCAATATCATAACGTACCATATTACACAGCACACACAAAGATACCTGTGATTCAGGGATCGATTTACCGGATGCCAACAACCTACCCACTCCTAAATCTCTTTAAATCAGTGGTAATCCCAGAAAACAAGGAACGACACCATCGTACTGGAAAATCAACCGACTCAAGCTTTTGTAGCCTCCCTGTGTTCCTTAAGTGGAACTCGAAAAAACAAGAATAATCACAACAGAACCAAGTATTTTAATTTTTTCCGCGAAAAAAAATTAATTACATAATATAAAATAGAGACAGCGATATTCCTTTTTCAAAGAAACACTTCCAAATCTAGATCTAAAGCAGAACACGGCATCACTAATTCGAAATTCTTCAACACTTCAGGATGTAATATACCCAAACGGCCAATAATTCGATTTCCCGGTTCCAAAATAATATTAGCACAACGTCCATCTAAATAAGTTGGATCTGAAACCACAAAATATTAATTGAAATTTGAATGAAATCGAAGATTTTCAGTACTTCAGAACACAAAAGTCAGTAAGTTTAACAATCCAAAAATGCCTTCTCTCTTTATGTAATTTTCCTCCATAAAAGTTGTACAGAGGTATTTATTTAAGGTGTTTATATATAAATGCATATATATATATATATATATATATATATATATATATATACATTATCTCAGAAATATTCTTCATATACAGACATTGTGGGATGAATTTTTCTCGTGGTTTCTGAGGATGATTATTTTTGTTGATAGTTGGATTCTAGTTTAGACATGGATTTTTAGTGGAATTGTAGAAGGGTAGGAGCGGTATACTTTTTTTCTCTTGAAGACAATTAACAATCATATTTCTCTGCTATTCTCATCAGGAGCAAATATAGGCTCAGATCATTACCTAGTATATGGAACATGCATACTCAGTTTTAAAGCCTTGAAAGAAGTTGGAGACAGACGATAATTCAAGTCCAACACGCAGAAACTGAACGACGAAACTACATAAGACACATTCACCGCAACCATAAGAGAAAAGTCATCGAGGAAACCTGTGTGAAAGACTACTGGAACTGTCTTAAAGGATGTATATATGGGCGTTTTAAAAAGGAAGAAGAGGCGAGAAAAGGAATGGTTGTAAGCTGAGTCAAACACCGGGTATACGCGGCTAATTGATGAGCTAGATGCCCAAAAAGAGCGAAGCAGCCAACCCTTATGTTCAGATCACCTTTATCTCCTTAACAGCGTAATTAATTCATTATTCTCACTTTAACTTCCTTGTTCCCGCAACTTCACTTTTGCGTCCAACATTAAGAAACATTTTATGGTTCTCATCTAATAACAACTTCCTTCTGGTTAAGTTTCAAACTCTTCAATTGTTTCGTTTATTAATATGTTACGTATTCTTTCATCTTATCTCTAGAAACCACTCTTCTGAAAAATTACGTATCAATTATGTTACATTTCCTCCCCCTATTACTCGATCGTACACTACCAAACATTCCTGCGCGTTCCGAGTGTAGAACACAGGGCGGCTCAAGAAGCTTGAGTCGCCTGAAACTTCAGTAAAAGCGGTGACGTAGTTTTCAATTACGGGATGGGCTTACCAGCCTGAATCACACCCAGCACATCTTCTTTGGTGGGCTTACTACCGGCAAGCTAAGCAACAAGGCTTAAGAAGTGGGACTCAAACCTCGTGTATGTGTGGTTAGTGAGCATTTCGCCAGTGAACCAGTGACGAAGGACAGACTGATATACATTTAAATGGTGAATACACATTTATAAAATATACACAGAAGAGCACAAATTCGATGGAGCGATAAGGTCTACCTGTAGTAGGCTGTAACTTATAAGTCTTGCATGCCTTAGACTTATCATGTGTTCTAGTTCTCCGAAATTCTTTGTTGCTAATTCTGATCTCCAGTGAAGACACCTAGCTGTTGATAAAAATCTGCAGTCGTCTGACGGAAATGCTATTTGTGAGGCTTTGAACAAGTTCCTGACCCACATAGTAGAAGTGACTAACTGACTTAATATTGGTGTTCTTTATGCTGAGGCGGAGTGAAGAAGCGGATTTCCTAATTGTTGTTTGAGTGATGAATATCCGTCTTTTCTTTCTGTAGCTGAAACGATTCTGCCTAGATCAATGGAAAGAGTAACCTCGTTCAAATTACCACCACCATATACGATGGGTACCTGTTGTTGGTAGTGGTTATGCATTTTCATCACTTCTGTATTCCTTACATTTACTTGAAATCCTGTCATTCTGCCAGTCTCTTTTGTCAACTTGTCTGTTTTCACCTGTAGATCTCCCAGTTTGTGTGCGTGACATTAGACATAAGTCATCCGCGAAGATTAGATCTTCTGAAGTCTTTTTATCGATCCAACATACTCCTGTCTTCTCACAGCCAAAGCCCAGTCTCCCATATAATCCAGTACACCACAATAAGAAAAATGATCGATGATAGTAGACATCCTTGAATTACCCCTGTCTTCACTTTAAAGGCGGCCTTCACACAGTTCTCCGTCGTGAATCACTTCACCTGTGGCATCATAATACAGCTGTTGTACATTGTATGAATAATGCGCATCTCCATCCTTATTGTTGCCTTCATCCAAAGAAGTACGCCTCGGCTGGATGACAGCTGGCTTCCCGAAGACTTTCACCAGCCCGTCGCATCATTTCGTCTCTCCGAACCCTACGGAGAATAAGTTTATATTTGTGTCGTGTTCTGAAGTTTGTGTGGAGATCGCACTGATTTTCCAAGATAAAGTCACTAGCCCAAGCCACTCTCAACTTTCCCTCTTTTCCTGGGCTTAAAACAGTCCAGAAAACTTGTAAACTAGGCAAGCTTGAGAGGCACCTTAGTTAATTTTCATCCCCTGTAGACCGAAATTCACAAATCTCTCAGTTGACACAAATAATCAATAAAACCATGATACAAAGTAACAAACAAAAACAGAGATGACACACAGTTTCACTTACCCGAAGTAGCTTGTAACTTATAAGTCATACCTCCCGCCTGAGACTTATCATGCTCATCAACAGGATCACTATTATCTCCAGATAATTTCGGCTTTGTTTTGAACAGAACTGATTCAACTTGAAATAATTGCATTAGACGATCTAATAAACCATGAATGATTTCAAAACCAGAATTTTTATTATAATGAACAGCGCAAACACGACGATGATTTGAAGCGCCGACATCTGTAATGAGAAAAAACACAATATTTGCATGTATGTGTGTATAAAGTGCACAAATTGACAGAAAAGTCAAGCACTGTTGGAAAATCTAATCTGTATTTGTTACCAGTTCACTTGCTCCTGTGGAGTTGGGCGCATAGGTCGTGACAGCAGGATATTTTCTACATCCACTACTGACGAAAACCAACGAACATGGTTGTCGACAAGAGAACGCACACAAGTGAACAGCTCAATTCTAGAGCAAATTATTACTTCATTTACAGGCATATATATATATATATATATATGGCGCGTGACTACTCCGGATCCTAAGCAGCAATGACAGCTGGAGACAATTGGTGGGGTGATTCACAGTCGTTGTTCTCAATGGTGCAGATGCAATCACTCTTCCTGAGAGATCTATTATAATCAAATAAGACCCTACTGACTTTCCATTTTACTGTTTTTTCCTCACATTTTTGCTCACTAATGTTTTTTTTTTTAAATTTCTCAATTTCTCTTTTGTTTCTTCCTTTGTGTGATACGTGTAGAAAGAGTGTGTTTGTGGGAACTTGAAGTGGTGCTGCACTTCTGTGCAAAGTTCTCAGCTGGAGCAAATCAGTCAAATTTGGCGCGCAACGAAAAGCATTCCCAACAGATTATTGCAAACTTTCATCAACAGCTGTCTTCACTTCCTCTATACTGAACAAAAGATAGCCTGAAAGGATTGGCAATAAAGAAATCGGGTAACGAACAAAACAAGAACCTATCGACCAACATATATGTTGGAGGAAATGGAGAAAGACTGGAAATACGCAAGCGTGTCCTCAAGTGACACTCAAGTAGGAAATTCCCGACCGATGGCTGCTACCTTGATGAGGTGATCGAGCTCGCACATCGCAATGACCCAACAAGCTACACTCGCTGGAAATATTGTTCCTGCAGGTCCTACCATGCCAGAAAGGTTGTTAGGATAGCGATTGGACTAAAAGCATTTACCGGCTTAGTGTAACATTTTGTAAAATATGCTGGGGGTCTGTGGGCGAAGTCGTACTGCACGGGAACAGGAATGTAACAGCAGTAGGGTGTTTCCTTAATATGACAAGCATGTCAGCTATGCTGTCTCTCCACTCTAGACAGGGGTAATTAGAACAGGTCAACCTCAAAGGTTGTACATCCCGATTTACCCCACCAATGATGTTCCATAACTGGCGGCGAGTTAACTAGCACGGAACAAATCCCAGAAACCAGTTCATACAGGCGGTGTGTGACCGGCCTCAAGCAGTTGTCCATTGGGCTCTGCTGTCACGCAACACTAACCCTCTCCCTGTTTCAGGTGCCCGAAGAATCAATCAACTTCCACGGTGGTATGGACAGTCGGGAAGTAACGACTGCCCACACACTTCCAAAAGCACACGAAGCCTTCCTGAGCATCATTCTCCTTTACCCACATCACCATCATCATCTGAATTCCCTACTACAGTCAGTACTATTCTTCAGCCTAGTGAGTCATCTTCACTTCACTCTGTGACCACAAACAAAGATGAGAGCCATAGAAACACTCCCGACAGCCTCTTAAAGTCACGTTGCCAACTTCATATAGGAGCATTCAACGTTAGTACCCTCCGACAAATCGGACAACAGGCATCACTAGCAAGAACTCTGGCATCTCGAGTCATGTACGTATGTTGTGTTTCGGAGAAACGCATACAAGACCCGAGTATGGTCACTCACTTAACCCCTCCTGCCCTCAGGTAGTTTGTGAGAACTTGCAGGTGTAAGGATAGTATTGAGTGTTAGGGCAGAAAAATCACTTCTTGACTGGATTCCAGGAGATGGTCGTATGTGTGCAGTCCGTCTGAACGGGTCCGTTAGAAGAATGAAAGACGGCGTTACCCGTCGTTGTCTTTTTATAGTATCTTAAGCCCCAATAGACTGCAGTTCGGATGAACTAAAGGATGACTTCTATCTGAAACTGTTTAATTTGCTGTAAAAAGCAAAACGCTCAGATATAGTTGTTTTAACAAGCGACTTGAATGCCCAAGTAGGGAAGTTGTGCCAGACTGAGAACTAATTAGGTGGCACGTATGGAGTTCCATGCCGACGAACCGACAGCGGTGATCGTCTTCTACAGTTTTGCTCAGATAATCATCTGTTCCTAGTCAGCACTAATTTTAGGCACCTGGTGACCTCCATTATTAAATCAACGTTGGACTCAGATAGACCACATAGCGATAGGGTATCGTTGGCGAAAGTCAGTAAAAGACTGCCACTCCTTCTGGAACACATGCGTAGACTATGATCACGCACTGGTTCGCTCACGTTCATACTTACGACTAAACGGACATAAGAAATTGCTGGCAGCGAAACAGTTACGTCCCCAACAAGATCGAGACTCTGAGTCCCCATTTTAAGGAAGAAATGACGAAACGAATACCTGAGGTCGACAGAAGGAATTCTACTGAGGTAGCAAAATCAATCCTCTTTCTGGTAGTACCACAATTTGTATAATAAAAGTTGACTTTGGAAGACAACGAATATATGAATACAGATAGTTTCCCGAGGCCCGAGGAAGCCTCGTACAACATACACTTAGCTATAGACATAGCTATAAAGGCTGCTAATAAGCTAAAACCAAAAGTTAGTTAGAGCCAGTGGGTTTCTACCACCTCATCCGAACTGATTGACGCAAGAAGACTGATTCCGGTGAGCTCCGAATATGATGAAGAGCGAAAGCTACTCCAAAGCAAAACAACAAGAAGTCTTCGTAACGACGATGAACAGCGGTGGGAGACAAAATCGAAAGAGGTGGAAAAGGCATCCGTGATTGGTAACACCAGGCAACTATTTAGGCTGATCAGGGAAACTGGTGGTAAAAGGCAAATGATAAGTGAAACAATCTCCGAGAAAAATGGCACCATATTTAGGTGTCGAGGTAGACGACTAGAACGTTAGAAAGAGTACTTTGAAGTGCAATCTAATTGGCTTACAGCCAAGCTCAACCTTCTCAACGTCCAATACTTCCACGAATGGGAAATAGACACAAGTCCTCCGTCCCTAACTGAAGTTACTAAGGCTGTCTCTAGTCTGAATGATGCAGAGCTGCGGGACCCAATGGAATGACTCCAGAGGTACCTAAGCACAGTGGAGACAGTTTCCTGTCTGCGTTAACTAAGGTACCACGCAGCGTCAGGTTTGGGGTAAGTCATTGATTATCCCCATATACAAGCTTGGTTAATATGGTATATAAAGTCCTAAGCTCAATAAACATGCGTACACTAAGCGTTCCACGGGGGAAACAAACACGAGAGAACCAGGAAGAGGGTGTATTGATCATATCTTCACCATTCGACAGATTCTGGAACATAGGTATACTTACCGATGTCCGATAATCATCATATTTCTTGACCTAAAGGCGGCATTCGATTCTGTCGACCGAGAGGTTCTCTAGCGATGCTTGGTTGTAAAGGGAATGCCGAGAAAATACATTGCACTGATCAAGGCACTCACTCCACTCTAACCCACGCAGCCAGGTGAGAGAATGCGATGAGTTGCCATCTGAAGTGGTGACAACCAGTGCTGTCCGTCGGGGATGCCCACCATCTCCATTTCTATTTAAGTTCATCATAGATGTACTAATGGAAGTAACCACAACTCACTTCAGAGACTCACGGATTGACTTGTTATCAGGGAATAGTAGTCTCGTTCATTTGGAATGTACAGATGATATAGTCCTCCCTCCTAGGGGAGGAAGACGCTGACAAAATGCAGAGTCTTCTGAACACCTTGAGCTGCAATCTAAGAATGTTTGGCATGCGATTCGCTCTCACTAAATGTTAGATGATGTTACAGGACTGGGCTACATTGACTGCCAGCTTTGAAATAGGAAGTGAAGTGGTAGAGCACGTTGACCACTTCACTTATTTGGGAAGTTGCATCAGCTGACGCAAACGGGTTAATCGCTCACAAAATCTCAGCACGGATATAGAGGGCTAGTTTCGCATATGCCAGTTTACGCCGTCTCTGGCGTAGACGTGATATCCGACTATCGACCAAAGGGCGTGTGTACTGCTCATCAGTTCGCTCCGTCCTCCTTTATGGCTGTGAGACCTGGCCATTGAGAGTGGAAGACATGAAAAGATTAGCTGTCTTTGATCATAGGTGTCTGCGTTCTATCTCCCGTGTGAAGTGGTATAATAAGGTGAGCAGTATTGAGGTTAGGCGTCGAGTGCTAGGTAAGGAGGGGAAGTCAGTCGAAGAGGCTGTGAAATTACATCGACTGAGATGGTTAGGACCTGTGCTACGTATGCCTAGTCATCGCCTTCCTCGATGAGCATTGTTAGCTGACATTGGGTCGCGCTGGAAAACAGCCAGTGGTGATCAAACCGAAACATGGCACCAGTCAATGAAATCTACAACAGTTAGTCTAAGACACGTAGGAAGGTGTAGACTTCGTGGTTGAGGTCCTCGAGACGATAAAAATTAATGGCTGGGAACAACTGCTGATATGGCTCAAAATGGTTATCCAATGGCTGGCGAAGATGCATCCACTCCTTGTCTTATTATACTCAATAAAACTATGTTTTTTTTTCGTTATTACTATTCCTTTGTCTCACATCCCTGTCCACTGTCTCTATTTTGCATCTCTTCTACTTTCCTCTCTTGCTTTGTGTGCTACATGGAATGTGGCGACTTGAACTGCTGCACACCAGTGTAAAGTTCAACGTTGAAAACAGACATGTGGTGAGAGCTGGCTGCTAGCCAAAGTTGGTAGACAGTAATTGACGTCAATGTTTATGTCCCCAATATTGGTGGTGAGAAAATGAGAAGAAAGGCTTTGCGTAAGCGGATACAATTGGCATATGGATGATCTGACACAGCCACAAAGAGATGCATGGTTAACTTTCTGTGAGAAACAACCAATCAAAAGACTGTATTTTCTACTAACAATAATCTACAATAATGTACATTAAAATCTATAAATATGTGTTGATTTTCCTTAATAAACGATCTGTTGCCTGGCCCTTGTCTTCTGTTGTTACAGACAGACAAGTAGGAAATTACGATTTGAGCGTGGATCCGAGAATAAAATGGAGGAAGGGCAAGTTTGTGGGTAGTTTTGGAGCCAGTTTAAGAAAAACTACAGAAGACAGGATGAGATGGCAAAATGAATAACTGTACAGCTTTGAAGTGTGAAACTACGAAAATCTTTCTTTTGCTTAAATGACTTACGTGTGCTTAAGTTTGATCACGGATTGATATCAGTTAGAAAACAATTAAAGACCGATACTACAGTACTGGACCTTATAGGTAGTACACATCCACACCAGCCGGGTTCAAACCACCTAAAACTCTCAGACTACAAGGTCAGCTCGTAGAACATTCAGCCACTGGGAGCTGGTGAATGGTCAGCCCATGAATTCCAAATTCTACCAATTCGTGATTAAATTTGAAACATATCAAATCCCTGAAAATTATGTGTTCTTAATTCAAAATCATATTGGGAATATTTTTAAATACCGATAAAGAGATTCCACTGAGCTATGCTCTTGCTTACCTTTCAATGGATCTTTCAAGACGACATCCTGGACTTCAAACAATTTCAGAGGGAGTGGTAAACTTCTGTTGCTGGCCAAAGTGTGCAATAATCCTGGCAACAGACTTGTTCGAACTACCTATGCACATATATATGAAGAAAGAAATGTTCGACAAGGTATTACGGTCATAATAAAATAACGTATTCTAGATTATCACAAAGTTAATGTTAGTATGATTATTCCCTTCCCGGTTGCCGTAGAAGTTGATTTTTTTTTAGGATACACCTGAACCGGAAAGAGGCATGAGCGTTTTATGACTGAAGAGCTCAGAGAACGACTGTTTGAGGCCTCATCACACACATATCCTGTGTTTGTGATGGCTTTCCAAATTAGTTTCCATAATTAAATCTTACCATCACTGAGTACGGACTGTGACAGGATAAATCGAGATGTACAATATTCGATGTCGACCATTCCTATTGTCTCACATGAGCAGGGATATGACACGAGTTACTAACAAGCGGTCCGATGAAAAAACCTTACTGTCATTCTACTCCTATTGCCTAGTAGTGCGACTTTACCATCAAAAATTCCAACATAATGTGGACGACTCACACTACAATGAGAACTGTTTTTGGTCGAGTCGTTATCCAAATAAGCATTTTTCGCACAGTACGTTCCAGTCAGTGTACTCGTTGGCCGTCATCAGGATGTGCAAACCTAGGCATCACTAACTCACTGACTGCTCGACTTTCAACATAGAACTATGATGCACAGCATCACTTCAAAATGCCACACATTCAATGTAGCGCAAACACAGGTAGAGGAAAGTGATTCAAAAGAAAGAAAGAATATTAACATAGAAAAACATGAGGGTTTAGTGGAAGTAGGAGACTACCGTGTAGAGTAAATCTGTATCTGTGGCATTTAGAACAAAGATTTTGAGCCGTAACACCAATAATCTCCAGACACATCAACTTTCAGAGACTTCATCGACTGACTCCAGGTTTCACTTTGATCGCCAATAACCATTTGTGATTTAATGTGCTCTAGATTACCACAGATGGAATCTAGAATGCCAATGGAAGTGTATCTGTGGGCGGTTACTATATCCCGACTACCGTCTACATATTGTGGAAGTTGATTTCTTTACGAATTACACTCAAGACGGCAACAACCCTGGTATTACATGACCAGAGGGGCCCAGAGGACAACTGTTTAAGGTAAGTCGGACACACACAGACACACGTCCTGCGTTTGGAGTTGTGTCCTTATGAAAGTTATACCACCGACTATGTGCCACCACAAAATACCTTGGCTAAAGCCCTATGTTCCATTCGGAACTCCAAAGGTGAACACAGAGAAGACCATCTGTCAGAAGATAGAACAGAGGAGCTACCTAAAAAAGAGATATAATAGCACAGAATGAAATACAGAGATGTGTCCCCTGGCTGTGAAGCCCTGTGCCTTACAACAAGAATATCGTCAACATATTCCCTCTTCTCCTCCTATTACGAAAGAAAAAAATGAGAAGACAAAGAGTCATCGATAATAACTTACTTGAAAATCAAGCGTTTTTGGATTCGATATATGCACAGCTGGTACCTCCTCTAATTTATATCGTAATTTACTGCTGATATCTTCACGAGAACACTGTAACAAAAACACAGAAAGGGAAGTAGCCATAATAATATTAATGTTAATTAAGCAATTCAATGTGAGGTATCAATGTCAAGTAAATTCTGACTATCAGCCTGTCTATAGACAAACCTAACCACAATCGTCATACGAAGATGATCAACTTACGTCATCTCCAGTGTAGACAGCTATGGATCAAACGATGCGTGTGTACACAGCTTAACAGTGCAGAGAAGCAGCAGTAGTCTCTGTCGTTCTGTATGTCTGTGGCTGTAAGTAAGACATCACCACCATTGAAAGTGGAAGATATGATGAAAATGCTCTCTTTAAATACAGCAGACATTTGCATTCTGTCTCACGTGTTAAGTGGTATTATGTAGCAAGCAATATTGGGGTTAGTAGAGTGTTAGGTGAGGAGGGAGAAAGTCAATCGAGAAGTTTGTGAAGCTGCATAGACTGAGATATCAACGATAAGAGTTGCCCATGACAAGTTATCGCCTTCCTCACTCAACGAGCAATGTTAGCCAAAATTGGATTAGTCCATGAAGTCACTGACAATCGGTTTGAGTCAGTCACGTAGGGAGGTATGCGATGCCTGGCTATGAACCACAGGATGATGCTAAGGGATTGATCAATGGCTGGAGACTAGTTGCCACATGGCTAAAAATCGTCGTTTTCAATGGTACAGATGCAGACTCCCTCTTTGTGTGATCCTTTCATTTTCCCAAGTCACTATTGTTTCTCCCTCAAATGTGTTTATTATAATCGTTTCGAATCTTGTGCGTTCTATTTCCCGAGTGTTAAGTGGCATAAGATGATGCGTAACAACGACCTCAGGTATTAGGAAAACAAAAAGTCAATCGCTGAGATTGCGAAACTATGCAATGATTAAGATGAAAATGACATGTGTTATGCATGTCCAGCCGTCGCTTTCCTCAAACGCCTATGTTAACGGACATAGGATTGGTGACTGCTTGATTGGTTTCAACATAGAACTCTGCACAGAAGTGCAGCACTATGCTTTCAAATTACTCAGACAGAGGGTAACGAAAGCCACCTCCTGTTTAACGAGTATTAGTTATTATCTGGAGACGTAGGTAGGTACATAATTATCATCATGATAATGATAATAACAATAAACTAGAAATTATCTTTGAACACAAAACAGAGCCGATAGGTATTTCGGTCGCGTTCTATTCACGTCTCTCTAAAATGTGTGTGAGCGAACACACTACCTAGAGCATGCCTGCAAAAAGGCAGAAATGCTGACTCACACTCAGGAGAAGCTCTAAAATTGGGCACCTCGTCAGGACAAATGTCACACAACATCTCATCTCAACTGTGACTCACCATCCATTACTCAGAGTCATTCACAAAATGAACACAAATATACCAAAGACGCCTTTACACTGCAGAAGTCCTCCCCGTAGGGGTATCGAGGAGGCAGACCTATGTATGTGTTCAAAAGAAGCGGAATTTAAAATGGATTTACTTCTGTTTGACTATTCAGTCTTTAGATTTTAGGATTTCTGCTGATTTCAGATCAGTTTAATTTCAAATCCTAGATTTTTGTCACAAACCAACGGGATCAGTTAGAGAGATCATTGAAAAACAGCAGGCAGTACTGAACAGCTAGTCCTGTTCCGCCTTCCTATTTTCGCTACTCTTCATTAGTGCGCGACCAACGAGCCCATACCTACTCCTCGAGGGATCGAACCACTCCGCAGCTTCAGATTATTTCTTTTTCCACCAATCTTTATACTTTTTCATTTTCGGTAATAAAATCTATTCCAATTTGTTTTTCTTAGCACATCATCCGCGTTTACATGCCTGTCTTCGTTTAACAAAAAAACTATTTTACATATTGCGCAACTATTTTCCAGTCCTTTGTACGTTTATTTCTATTCACCTTGTGATCTGTAGATGCATTGACACCTCCTGACTTTCAGTTCAATATCAAATTTAAACTTTATTATCAACTTTAATCCTTTCACTGTTACTCTGTTGAATTAAATGATAATTTCATACACTTATTTACACCTTTTATTAATTTGAATAAAGTAAGAACAATATTGATTTGTGCAGGCATAATAAGATTGTACCATTGTAACAACAGAAGACAAGGGCCAGGCAACAGAACGTTTATTACGGAAAATCAACACGTATTTATAGATTTTGGTGTACATTATTGTAGGTTAATGTTGGTAGAAAATACAGTCTGTTGATTGGTTGTTTCTCACAAAAAGTTAACCTTGCATCTCTTGTGGCTGTGTCAGTTCATCTATATGTTAACTGTATCCACCTGTCCATCTTGACCTTGACCTCAATTACTATCAACCAATTTGGCTAGCAACCATCTCTCACCACAACATGACTAATATTTATACATAGACATTGACCTCAATTACTGTCAACCAATTTGGCTAGCAACCATCTCTCACCACACCATTATTGTTTATTTCGTCTCAGCACTGAGTACAGGCTACAAAAATGAATTAACATTATGCACAGAACAATTTCTAACATACTTGCAATGGCTACATAATGTCAGTTGACACCAAGAGTCAGCTTGTTGGATAACATGCCCACTTTGGTCAAACCAAAGGTTGACACATAATCCTTCTCAAGTTAACAATCAAATTTAAGTGTATCTGCGGTAGCAGTTACATTGAAAGAACAGGAGGAAGAAGGCAACCTTAGATTTTCTGAACAATGTACCAAAAGGCCTATGTCTCAAGGGAACAAACACTTTAGCGATAGTGCCACTGACAGACATCTTATCATCAAGGGTCATTTGGTGGACATGACGCAATCCTTTAAAACTACCAAAAGACAAAACAAAATAGTTCAGTTCTTCTCAAGTTTGCTGAAGCAATCTCTATTAATCTCCTGATAGCCAACTAATGTGGTCAAAAATAAGCGGTTAACAGTCTCTTTTTGTCCTGCGTCCTGGTAACTGGATGTCTTTACTCTCTATCTCCTTCATTTGATTAGGTAATCTTTGGCTTTAGAATGTCCCCCTCTCATTGCTACAGTATGATTCTGCTTGTCTCTAGTTCCCATGATTTCGGTTGAACTCAACACATTGTTACTCTCAATTTATTGGTTTATTATCATCTTATTCACTTCTTGTCTTTGTTATGCAACTCTTTTGGCATTGTATTCAAGCATTTATTTTTTTTAAATAGAGTGGTGAGTGTCGAGAAAGGTGTTCAATTAATTTCTGGCAAAGCCACTACTGTTACCTTTCTACAACCATGCGGGAGGATAGTGTTCTTGACATTGACTCGAGTCGGACGACCAATATATACCGGACTCCACAAGAACAGATGTGTGCACACATATATAAGTGGTCATATGTCAGATCTCATCCTTTGGGGCTTCTATTGTAGACCAGTAGAGGACTGATTGGAGAGGAAAACTACTCTCAGTGTTGCAGCGAAGAAAGTTCTTCTTAAAGAAGAACGCGGAATGCACCTCTGAAGAACATCAACCGGTAAATAGGCAGTCACTTTTGAAGTTCAGGTCCGTGTAAAACTTTCTTCAATCTGGCTGGCATAAACGACGTCACTAGTCTTTAAACTTTCGGTTTGATATTTTTTCATGAAGATTTTTTTTTCAAAAAGTGTAATTCTTCTTCATCCAGAGCATTAAGGCTGCAGATGACATGTCGGACAGACGCTAGTAACAAAAGACTTAATTACCTTCTTATCTACATCCAACTGGAATCGCCAGCTTGAGAAACTTGTCAGCCGACTGTGTCTTCCACGTAAAATTCATACTGATGAACCTCCTTAATAAAGCTGCATCAGTACTTCTTGTCAGTTCAACATCAAGAAACAAAATTTTAGACTTATTCTCTACTACTATTTCAAAAGTAAGCATAATTTTAAGAGATGATAATTGTTGAAAATATATTTTTTTGCAACAAATGAAATTAAGATAATAACTATCATCACAGATAATCACAGACCAAAGCATACAATTGAAAATTATCAATAGGTGAATTAAGTGAACACCATTCGCTATATTCTGACATGAAACAATCTGCTAGCAACGGACCCAGAGGAGATCCCAGTGAGTAGTAGTGTTCATAGAGAGATTCAAGCGCACCGCCAATCGTTTCAAACGTAAATAACTCTGGGTCACAACAGTCACTTCTTTTGTAGCGAGTATCATTTATTATTTAGGCGATGGCATTGAGCGGGTTACGTCATCTCTGGTGTAAACGTGATTAATATCCAACTGGCTGTCGATTAAACGAGGCGTTTACTGCACAACAGCCGTTCGCTCCGTCCTCCTTCATAGCTGTGAGTGACACATAGCCACTGAGAGTATAAGATATGAAACACCTGGCTAGCTGTCTTTGATCATAGGTGTGTCTGCATTCTATCTCCCGCGTTAAGTGTATGAAATCAGTTCATGAAATCTTTGATAGTTCGTTTGAGCTATTCGCCTAAGGAGTTCTCGACTGCCTGATTGGTTTAGGACCTCGGGAGAGGAATACTCGTAGCGTGGAGAACATATGGAACACCTGCGTCCAACTCACTGAATACAAACAAAACAACTAATTTCAATATAAGTTTCGTTAGAATAACCACCACATCAGTTAGTGAGAATCATTGAAGTTATTTTCAACCTATTTTCTAATTTTCTAAATTGTTGTCTTCCAATTATCGATCTTCATCTCGGTAGGTGGTAGGCGGCGCATTTATGAAGTGACAGCGACTCGATCAAAACCGATTCAGAAATCACGTATTTGTTGCCTACTTTAACGAATTCAAACGTTTTTCGAAGAGACTATCTTGGAATTCGTTCAATAACATGGTTGTAAGATAGTTGTCCTAGCCATTCCACGATTGGAAGACAAAGAAGATGCAGACATCTGTGTCTCGGATCACTCGAATGGTTGTCTCTGTTTACGAGTTTCTCGATAATCATGGTATTATTGAACTGCTTGGTCAAGTCTTTCCATAGACATCTTCGCAGGTAAGTTGATTTTTTTTAGCCTTCTCAATATCTCAGTGAATTGCTCATTTGTGTTCTTCATATTACGAACTGTCAAATTTGAATTCCGATGTAAGTGTGGTTGACTGACTATGAGCAATTTTTCCCGCATTACCTGAAAATTCTTGGTAGTTTGATCGCTGATGGGATTGTACGCGGTGGGTAACGATGAAGAGTCCCCAACTAGGACGAAACAGCTGTCCACGTGCAATCTTTGCTATTAGTTTCATCTAATTGACACCAGTCTAGTGATATCAAACTTAAATTAACTTATGACAAAAAGAGACTTACCAGTGAGAAACTTAACGCCTCAGTAAATCCCATTTGCGCTATTTCAGCACGAACCAAATCAGATAAGTGATTCAATTCTTGATTTCCTGCTAAACAATACGTCAGTGGTAAACTCTCTGGTATATTATCATAACCGTAAGCAACGCCAACATCTTCAGCAATATCACATGCATGTAGGATGTCATGTCGAGTTGGTGGTATCCGGACAGATATTAAACCAGATGACGGTGGTGATACAGCTGCAGAAAAAAATAAGTGATGAAAAGAAAGAATTCATAAGAACAAGATTTGAAAGGTTTTCAACTTCACAAACACCCAAGAAGTCCGAACGCCAACATCAATGACTCTGGGTGGGGGAATTGCGTTTAAAACAAGTAATTTTGGGGGAGCCTAACCCAATCCCATAACACTAATATCTATGTCAAACCTAACCCCAATTTATTCTAACTAACCAACTCGCTAATTACGTAAACCTAAACATAACCTTATTACATTATGGGTGTCAAGATATGCGCTACACAACGACAATAAAACAACAATATCTAAAGAAAGTAGGAAGAGCATGAATGAGGGACGTCATAAGGAAGGCAAGCAAGCAAGCATACTTGTCAAAATCACCCAAGATTTATCATCACCTTATGTTATTTTCATAGAGAGGAAGAAAAGAAGGCAACTGCAGCACGCTCACCATTCCATCGCGATTCTTAACCATATCGGATAACAATTTCAAGCCACTGATTCAACCAGGATGTCGTGGTGTACCAACTGATGCTAACTAACCTAACAAAAAACCCTTCATCCCGCGATGCTACATCTTAGGCTGACCACCACCTCTCCTCTCTTCCCATCCAGTCCTACGGATAGTGAATAACGACTGGTACGAAAGCCTGTGGGATGGTATTCGCAGCACATGAACGAGCTACTGAAGTTGGTGCTTCCAGATGAAGACCCCTCCCCGACGTGTCCAAATAGAATTACTTACACGATGATGGTATCACGGGACGCAAGCAACACTTCTATGGTGGCAGTGACGACAGAACACGCAGAGTCACCGGACGTCCCCAGCTTAGAGAGGTCAGGTTTCACTATCACAGACCAAGAGCGCACACACCAAGGTATTGTAAACACGACCTTTGACAACTAGGCTGAGATATTACTATTTTAACTTCGAATGCGCCATATCCACTAAAATAAAATCATTCGGAATAGAAAGGTATCAAACCAACACAATCACGTCATCTAGTACTATGTGCTGACCGATTGCTTTCAATATAAAACCATTTCAGCTTGCCAAAATCCCTCGATGTTGCACACAAAGGAAGAAAAAACAGAAAAAAAATATCTGAGTTAACTATAATAAACAGAAATATGAGGGAATAAGAATAGTAACATAGAAAAAAGATGAGGCTTTAATGGATATGAGAGATCATAGCGAGTAAATACATTTGCGCCACTGAGAACAACTTCGAGCCATATCACCGATTACCTCCAAACTGGTAGGAGACAATCTACACCCCCATACATTGCTGGCACAAACGAACTATCAAAACTTTCATGGACTGATTTCATATTTTGCTTTGAACACCAATAACTAGCTAGCTAGCTAACTAACTCTCTCCCAAAATGTTACTATGTCACCAGCTAACATTTTACGTCAACAAAGGTGACGCCTTGGTGTGCATGCGTAACACGTGTTGTCCTAACCATCTGCTCAATCGATTCACCTGTTTCACGACCTCATCGCCATTGACTTTCTCTACTCCTCACCTAACACCCGATGCCTAACCAACCTCAATATATTCACCTTATCATACTACTTAACACGCGAGATAGAATGCAGACACACCTATGATCAAAGACAGCTAGCCAGGTGTTTCATATCTTATACTCTCAGTGGCTATGTGTCACTCACAGCTATGAAGGAGGACGGAGCGAACGGCTGTTGTGCAATAAACGCCTCGTTTAATCGACAGCCAGTTGGATATGAATCACGTTTACACCAGAGATGACGTAGACTGAGAGAACCATCCAACAGCAAAAGAAGACAAGATCAAAACACAATCTATAAAAAATGAATTGTAAGAACCGTGATAATTACTGTTATATTGGTCAGTGGTCATCCGCTATCAGAATCGGATCCTAAGAACATAAACTCGCTAGCTAGCTGGCTGTCACACGTGACATGTATTCCTCCTTTGATATGAATATGCATGTGTAGATAAATATTATGGAAACCAACAATGTGACTGGGGAAAATGTAGGAACTTCCTTATACAGTGAAAAGACTAAAACAAATGTCAGAGGAATTTCTAGAAGCTTTATTTGTTACTCAGATGGATGAGTCGGCAATCAAATAGACTCACATTATTCATTTCCTTTACGTTCAAGCTCTAGTATTTATTCTTACGGGATGGGGTTGCCAGCCTTATGCCCGACTTTCCCTCTTTACCAGCCTTATAACTGGCTAACTGAGGTGAAGGAGTGCGTCGGTTGGGTATCGAACCCCGAAACACCTGCGTTGTTGGCGAGCATTCTACCGCTGTGCCATTAACCCACTAACAGACAAACTTCAAGATAGATCAAATGTGACGAAAAAGGGTCAAGTTGCAAGTTAATAAAAATGATCAATACTAATGTAAATTAAACGACTAATCACGACAACAAAGATTGTCAGTAGATACCAAGTTGTATCATTCATAGAAAGGAAATTCAAATATGTTCACACTTCACGCAATGAGTATGACGTATGCTCAGCTATCCAAAACGTGGCATCAGTACATGAAGTCATCGGCAACTGCTTTCAGCCAACCAGCACACATTGTAACAGCAAAATGCAAGACACAGAATTATTACTATTATTATTCCCTTGCGCTCCGAGTGGAACATGCGGCTTCAACTACACATCTCTACTTTGTTCTGTTTTCTTTCGTCCTCTTCATCTGAGTCCACGATTAACCTAACTCTCTCAACTCTTCCTCACACGATCTACTCCATATCACCCTAGGACAACCCACAGGTCGCTTCACATTTGGATTCCACCAGAGGACCTGGCAAGCGATGTCATTCGGCGGCCTCCTCAACGTATGTCCTATCCTTCTCCGCTTTCTTCTAAATATATGTTAAGCGATCGGCTGTCGGTTTGTTCCCATAGTTTCTTGTTGCTTATTCTTTCTGGTCATTTGTTCTTCAGTATGAACCGGAGGCAGCTGTTGATGAAAGTCTGAAACCTGTTGGAAATCCTTTTCATGACACATTGGCCAAGTTTATTACCCTTATAGAAGAACCTACTTCACATTGGTGTTGAAAATCCGAATCTTGTTCCTTATGCTGAATGCGGAAGATTTCCCAACTGGTCTCAGGTTGATGAAGGTGTATCGTGCCTTTCCAATTCTGACTTTGACATCTTCGTTCGTTCCACCTGTAGTTGAAACGATGATTCCTAGATAAGTGAAGGAGGCAACCTCTGTTAAATCTCTCCCATTGATGGTTGTTGTTGCTGTTGATTGGTTATTTTCATCACCTCCGTCGTCTCTGTGTTCACCTGCAGACCTGTTTCCGCTGCCTCTTCAGCCAGTTTGTTGACTTTCGCTTGCAAGTCTTCGAGTTTGTGTGACATTAGACATACATCATCTGCGAAATTCAGATCTTCTAGAGTCTTCTTATCAGTCATCCCGCGTATTCCTGATTCCTCGCCCCCGACAGTCTGACGCACAACCCAGTCCACTACAATTGCGAATATCATCGGTCATAATAGGCAGCCTTGTCTTACTCCTCTGTGCACTTCCAACTCCTCGCTGACTTTTCCGTTGTGGATCACTTGAAACCGTGGCATTGTCATATAGCTGTTGAATGAGGTTGACACGGAAGCCAAGGTATATTTTCAATTGATGAAAGCTATATATATATATATATATATATATATATATATATATTGGACAGCTGTTTCGTTGGACTAGTTTGGGACTGGCTTTTCAGCAGTATAGGTTTCTCAACGGTTCTCTGAAATGCCAGCTTGTGATCAAACATGTAACCAATCACATTCCCAGCTGCAAACAAATACTTGACAAATATATCATTCTACAGTTATTTACTTACCAGTAGATGATATATTTGAATCGATAGACTGATTCGGTGGGATAGATGTACATGTTAAACTCATACGATTCAACAGACTAGTCACTTCAGCTTCTGTGAACTTTGTACCCAATTGACGATTTATGTAGTCGATACTGACAACTTCATCACGATAATCTAAACGCTAAAAATATAAGGCAATAAGTGGGAAATTAAAATAAAGGAAACTTTGAGGGGTGAGTTCTCACCCAATGAACAACGTGACTGACGTAGTCAGAGATCACACCACGCTGCTGTAAACATGGCGAGAAATATTGAGGTTAAGCATAAAGTACTAGGTGGGGAATGGGAAAGTCAATCGACAGGACTTTCAAGCTTTGCGTCGATTCAAATGTTTAAAACATTTAGTGTGTATACAGAGTCACTGCCTTCTTTGACAAGCAAAGTTAGTTGACACAGGGTTGGTTAAACCAAAACCTAACATCTATCCATGAGTCATGTTTGGAGGCGTAGATCGTCTGGCTAAGTAGGAGTCCTTAGGAGACTAAGAGCCAATGATTAGACACTATAGGTATGGTGTAGCACAAAATCTTAGTTCTCAATGGCACCGATGCATTCACCCTCTGTGTAATCACCCACATTCATTAAGTACTCATGTGTTTTCCATGTTAGTATTCTTTCTCCTCACTGCAGTTCTTTTGAATTTCTTTTTTCTCCCTTCTCTCCACCTTTGTGTGGTACATGAAGTGTGGCAACTTGAAGTGCTGCTGTAATACTGTCTGAAGTTCTACGCTGAAACTCAGTCACCATTATGTTGGAAACACAGATTCTTGTTTGGTCGCCAAAGTTTTAACGACAACAGGACTGAATAGAAACACTGGGTGTTGACAGTTTTAAGCATGTACCTAGTACACTTACCAACCGCTCCTAAACCCGGAAAAGAGGGGAGTTTGTGTGCTGTGGGTTAGCAGTCCCATTCCTCTCCCGCCTATTTCTACAGAAAATTTAGATAACAAGAAAAAGTAGGCTTATTCCTCACTCGTTCAGTTCAAAGACCAATGACGCCGACTAGAAGGCCAATGCATCGATAAGTCTTCTTTGAATGGAAGGAAAAGTAAGCATTGGAGCATGGGGAATGATCGCATAGTGCTTGAGGCTACCAAGGCTGCATCTGTGCATTTTGAATCCAAAAATGCTAGCGGTTACCCCTCGCCCCTCCATCAGCCATCAAATGACATCACCTTAATCCCTTAGACATTATCGAAGGAAGAAGCGAAACCAACATACCAAAACACAGATACAGCACAATTTGTTCCAATGAGAAGAATCAATTTAGCTCATAATATAAACGATCCCAACAAGTTCATGATATCCTTTGATGTAACCTCTCTATTCACAAGGATTCCAATTCATAAAAATGTCAATGTTATGTGCCAGTGTTCCGATTTGCTCCATTTGCCTGTGGAGGAATTTACACACCCACTACGAATGTGCACCATAGATGAACAATTTCAATTTGATGATAACCTCTATAGGTCAAATAGACACTGTAGCTATGGGCAGTCCACAAGGCCCCGCACTAGCAGACATCTTCATGTCTAATCTTGGGAGAACAAGGCTGAAAAGGGCGATCGATAAGACAATCTCTAATTGTTGATATGTCGATGACACCTTCATGTTACGTGATAGTGAAAATCACGCATCTCATCGACTTCAACTGTTCAAAGACGTGCATGAGAATATTGACTTCACAACGGCACAAGAGACTGATGGAAAGTCGGTCGGTCGGTCGGTTTTCGACATAGAACTTTGCACAAATGTGCGGCAGTTCAAGTCGCCACACTCCGTGTAGCACACGAAGCAAGAGAAGAAAGTAGAAGAAATGCATAATATAGACAGTAAACGGAGGTGTGAGACAAAGGAATAGTAATAACGAAGAACAAAACAGTTTCATTGGAAATCATAAGTCACAAGGAGTGGATACATCTGCAACAGCCAATGAGAACGATTTTGAGCCATGTCACCAATCGTTTCCAACCATTGGTTTTTACCGTCCCGAGGACCCCAACCAGGAAGTCTACATCTTCCGACGTGGCTTAGACTAACTGTTGTGGATTTCATTGACTGGTGCCATGTTTTCGTTTGACCACCGCTAGCTCTTTTCAAGCCTGGCCCTATATCAGCTAACACTGGAAAGTTCTATTTCCTTGATACTGTCATACGAAGATAGGAGTTTGCAAAGATCCATTCGCCGAAAATCCACGTAGAATGGACTATACTTAGATTTCAATAATTTAGTCCAATCACCTACAAACGAGCATTGGTCAGAAACCACTTTACGGAGCAAAACGAATATGCTCCACAGAAATACTGGAAGAAATAAACATTGAGAAAGTTTTGAAAAATAACAGTTATCCTCCAAAATTCACTAAAAAATATGAAAGATCTGAAAATCGAAAGGTGAAACAAACCACAGTAAACAAGAAACCTATATCTTCATCCAGCTTGATTTTAAAAACGATAATAATGCAGGAATAATCAACAGAAGATTGAATACTTCTCTAACCAGAACCTAACCTGCAGTCAAATTGGTTCCCGTTTATCGAGCAAACTCTTTGGTTCAATCAATGGTTGACAGATACTCTTCCCATGTTAACCCTGATTGCGTATACAAATTTACGTGTATCTTCGGGAGCAGTTACATTGGGAGAACTGAAAGAAGGGCATATCTCAGATTCCCTGAACATGTACTGAAAAGTTTACGTTTCAGAGGAACAGATGTTTGCAACAGTGCTAATGCTAGACATCTTGTTGATACATGTTTATGCTGTGGACACCGTGAAATCCTTCAAGACTATTCATACACAAAATAACTCAACTTTCCTCGAATTTACCGAAGCAATCTCTATCAAACGTTTAAAGCCTGACTTATGTGTTCAGAAATATTCACCTATTAGTCTTTCTTCGCCTTGGTGACTTGACGTCTAATGTCTCCATCCGAATTGATTGCATAACCTTTTCTTTTCACCACCCCCACCTTCTTTTTGTTTCTATGACTTGAATTAAACTCACCACATTATTACTCATCATCAATTTCTCTCCTTTTGTGCAACGCAATTTTTAATGTGTATCCGACCATTAATTCTGCATGTGTTTGCCTTTTGTTTAAACCTTGACCTCCTCTTTGTATAAGTCATACAAGTGGAACTTCTCAAAATTGCTAAGTAACCTGTGAGTGTGTCACTGTTAACAAAAATCATGTTGAGCCATTACAAGTATAACCAAATTCTGTAAATACATTTACACTAATAAACAACTTTTAGGTTGTAAGCAATTGAAGAGAATCCAACAACGAAATAAACGATGGTTTCATATTATTCTACACAAACATTTGTTGTTTTTGCTTTGTTTGAATTTAACTTAAACAACAACAAAAATGACAGCTAATTAAACTAGCTAACAGCAAGCATCAATCACTATCCACGGGAGAAATCCGAAAGAAGAAGTCACTTCTTTCACTAATGTGACTTCGGCAGTTGGATGACACAGATAAGGATGCTAAAAAACAGCCACAATCAGCAAAGCAAGACAGACATTCATTACTCTGAAATCAGTGTGGAAATCTAGTGCACTCACACTCAGTATATAAGCAACTAGATCAGGATCTTCAACACTGATGTCAAACCAGTGATTTTAAAATGGTTCACCAAAAGCATTTCTCCAACAGGCTTCTGTAGACTTTCGATTAACAGCTCCTTTCGCTAGCTGAATACTGAAGATCAGATGGTCGGCCTGAAACGATCATCAACAAGGAATTCTTATAAAGAACAAACCGAGAACCACCAATTATCCAAGAATTATACCGAAAGAAATGGAGCACTATCTGAGAACATTGTTGGAGTAGCATCACACTCCCAAAAAGGCTGTTGAGTGGAACCCTAGTGGGAAACAACGAGTGATCAAGGTGACGTGGAGCAGATAGTGCTAGGCGGAGATGGGATGCCTTATGGGCAAGTGTGCAACCCACTAAAGAAAACTGTGGAGAAGAGGATGAAATGGAGATGTACTCCGACTGAAGCCCAATGTTCCACTAGGAACCCAGAGAAATAATAATGACACATTTATCAAAACTTACTGGGTATAGACATCGACTCCCATCATGTTGAATTACTTCTACTGGTTCAGCTCTACACAAAAACAAAAACACAAAATAAAGAAAAGAATTAGATCAATTTATGATTGTTCACATACACAACACTCAAGCCTGCCTGTTTACATTTAATTGAGTCTTCAAGTTTGAAGGTGTTGCTTATCGGCTTCTAACACTCAACTACCAGACAGTGCGGGTCACGGGTTCGAATCCCACTGCAACTAATTCCCTTCCCAAGTTAACGACACTCATATAATATGTGGGTGGATGGGTGACTCATATAACCTGGGACACGAAAAATCTCTTCTATCCAGGTAGCTGACTCGCTTTAAACTATAAACGTCAGCTAGGTAGCTAATAAATCTATAACATAGGTTAAACCATACCTCCCTCTGTAGTGATGGCTGGTTGCTAACCAAAATTGGTAGATAGTAATTTACGTCAATATTTACGTTCTCAATAGTGGTCGTGAGAAAAATATGAACAAAGACTGACTCAACAATCAATCACAGCACACTTTACATATGCAGATACAATTTGCAGATAGATAATCGGAACTTCAAGAAACGGCTACGAAGAGATGAAAGATTAACGTTCAGCGAGAAACCACCAATCAGAAGACTGTATTTGTTTGCTTACAATAATTTAAAATAATGTACATGAAAATATATAAATATGTGTTGATTTCCTAAATAAACGATCTGTTGCCTGGCCCTTGTCTTCTGTCTTCTTCTTCTATCACAAGACGAAGAAAGAGTAAACAGCCAGAAAGCTTTACATTACATTACCCAACCAATCTCCGAGTGGAACATAGGACTTCACAGCCCGGGGGGAGGACATCACTATTTCACCCTGTTTTCTAAAGTCCTTCCATTAGCTAACTTCATAACTGTCTGGTAAGTCTTCATTTTTCTTCCCCTCTTCTCACATGGTATCCTCTATGTTACCTGAGGATCTAGCCTCAACTTGTGGTAGTGTTTCCATTTAGGTTCAAAGTCGGGGGCCATACAGTTGTCATACAATTGTCTTTTGAGCGAATTTCCCAACCATGTTCATTTCTTGGTTGAACGATATAAGCGCCACCGCCAGCCAATCAATCCCATACCATGCTTCACCCTGACAATAGTGGGAGCCTCCTCATCTCATTAGTCAAAATGTCTCATCACGACTTTAATATATCCATCTTACAACCATACTAATGACCTCAGATTTGATATTCATTGAAATCAATAATAAGAAACTTCAATGATGAAAGTTGCAAGTTCGCTCACGGATTGAAAATCTCCAACAGGGTGTACTGGACAGCTGTTTCGTCAGCCTACTTCGGAACTCCTTAGGAGTACGGACTCACTAGGGACCGAGCCCAGGGCATTCAGGTTACGAAGCTACCTCGGCTCGCTATTCGCCCGGTGGAACGGAATTTAGTGATCCGTAAATTCTAACTTCTGCCGATTCACGACGTATAGCGCCACCACCAGCCAATGTGATCAAGTAGTCGGGTGGGAGGACAAATACTCGTCAGTGACACTAAGTTGTAGCCCTGGCGCTTAGAATAACGAATTAACAGAAGCTAGAAATCATGCAGTGGTCATTGAATCCCATCCCAGTGGGTGGCTCAATGGTCAACGAGCTTAATTTGTAACCTGAATGTACTGGGTTAGATCTCCAGAGGTAAGGTAATGGCTGCGTACTACTGAAGAGTTCCAAACAGTACTCCCTGTTATTCAATAGTTCCCTAGCTGATATCAGTCCCATGATCAAACTCGAGATGAACCAAATCCCTGTAAAAATTAAGATCTGAAAATAAAAGTTTCAGTTGAACCGGAAAAGGACTTACGTGAATGGTTTTTCACAATACTCTGAAAACATTGTAACCAATGTATCCAAAACAACAATAGCTTTGTGCAGATCGATTCCAGTGGCTTCAATAAAAATGTTCCGCGTTTTTGTTGTAATACGAGAATGTTCACCTGAAAGATAGTATAAAATAAGTTATACGTGTAAGAATAGAACTTGGCCACTGTGGAAGACTATAATTCAAAAATTTATTCTGATAAAGTCTCGCAGTGTTGTAATACAGTAATATTTACTGACGACCACATTTCGAGTACTCATAATCATATCATGACATTACTCAAAAAATTTTCTGACTTCTTTTGTATAATTCCGTTATTTCTCAATTCTTGATATGATTGGTAGTAATAATATTTCCTTATATGTGGTGCTGGTGATGAGTCATTCCTATTTTATGTGTTGGGTGCAGTAGATTCGATGAACAAAGATTCAGTAATCAACCTCTCTCTATCTGCATCTATTTATATTACTTTTTAGAATTGTAACTCTGTACCGACCTGTTGTGTGGTTGTGTGTTGATGCACGCAGTGCAATTGCGGGGTCAATCATTCTACACTTAGCTAAATCCTCATTTTTTGATAATCTAACTTCCCCCTATCTACTGGTTTGACCTATGTAGTTGACTTAACTCACAGTGATTGCAAGGTATTTCGTAAGTTGTCTAGTTGGATCAACCTGCAGAGGTTATCACTGAGTGAGTAATGCATTAACCTAAAATTTCAATGTAGGTGTTTCGTCACGAAACAGCAATGTCAACCAGATGGAACCATAAACGACCTGCTACGGCCGATGATGGGTGAATAGACAGTTAGGTTTCTCTCTCTCAAAATGGCCACACACACACACAATCATAGCCTCTGTTATCAAGAAAGTTGTCCTACTCACTGAGAACGTCTGGCGCTTACAACCAGACTGGTCGAGGACATGAAGGGTTACCTACACCTAGGAGCTGGAAAACCTTGACTGACTTCAAATCTACCTTATGGTGTGTGCGTGGGTACATGGGCTCCAGAACTTGAAAGAGTACAATGACGAATGAACTTGTTTTGGTCACCGCAAACCATGGGCATACAGACGCTCCAGCCTTTTGTAAATCAGACTTCCAGTAAACAGGCCTGAAAGTGACTCCTTAAGACAACCACCCCACCTGCTTCGGTTTGGGCATCCGGATAGGAAGCATCCAAGCCCTCACACAACCCATGAGACAACAATTTATGTAGCGCATCTCTTGGTGGTGACCATAATGCACCAAGTTTGTATTTTCCTAATAATAAAATAATAAGGTAAAATCACTAAAAATGGACAAAAGTTGGAACCTATTTGTCAATGGTCAGCTTTGTACACCATGAAAGACTCATTTCACTTTGCCGAAAGTGTGAACCACATGTATTCATAAGACTGAACTTTCTGTAAGCGCTATCTCACCCAGATAACAAATCAATCTCTAAGTTGCTAAAGTCGATTACAAGGCAGTAAGTCAAAAGATCTAAGAGAATGAATTGTCCAATTACCATTCAAATAAATGTTAAAAACGCAGTCAAACACACTGGATCACATGTAGGTTGCCAGGTGACATATTTTATCATTATTATTTTATTCTTTCACGTTCCAAGTGGAACATAAGGTGGTTTCAAGCTCCTTGAGCTTTGAAGTTTCAGTGACAGTGGTGTTCTTTTTTACGTAGTTTGGGGTCACTAGTCTCTTTACCGGGTTTACACTGCCAGGGCTAGGCAGCGAATTTTGCCAGTGCGCTGATGGCCGGCAATCCAACCTGAAACCAAGTCCTTGGTTGGCGAGTATTGTATCACTGAAATTTATCAAGCATTGACATTGTAGAAGTGAACAGAACAGCTCGCCCCCCTCCAAGAGAAACTAAGGGGCATCAAAAGAAACGCAAAAACCACTCACCGTTTATTATCGGCGGCATTGATAAGACGACATTAGAACTATCCACAATAACAGGATATTTCGGCTTATCTTGAATGAGTGGAAGATAGTGTTTCAAATGTGGATCAGTCTATACATAACAAACAAATAACAAGAACGATAATAATAAAAAATAGTAATAATAATAATAAAAATAATAGATTGTAACTAGTGTCATGTATTTAATTCTTGGTGTCTGTCTGAATTTTAGCAAATTCACATTTTCAAGAGTCGGTTTGGAGAGGAAATCTGATTTGTTTCTAGTCTGATATCACCAATAGACACGTCAGCTAGAGAACCATTTGAAAACCAACATAACTCGGAACTGGCTCTTTAACAGTACGCACCCACCACCAGGGTTCGAGCCAGCGACATTTCTGATTACAACATGAGCTCATAGACTTTCACAAAATGGCTCTTGGAAATTAATCTGATGCCCCAAAGTAGGCTGACAATACAACTTTCCAGTACCCCCTGCTAGTGGTTTTCAGTGCTTCTCTAACTGATATCGATCCCTTATCAAACTTGAAACAAATCAAAAACATTTCCCTAACAATTAACTCTCGAAAATCAATCTGAAGCTCGCTAGTAGTCGACTGGTTACAGGAGGACGAAGATACCTAGAGTGTTCAAGTGAGAACTTGTGAACAGTATGGGGTTCACTAAGTTGTCAAGAGTGATGAAACCGCGCAGCTACGCCTTTTTATGGCACGAGTACCAAGAAGTACGAAGTCTAGATGCAAGGCTTTCTGTCGACTGCTTCATCCTGGAAGTAATGACATGCACTTCATTAATCGATTAAAAAACAACTAATTTTTATGTTCCAACTTCAACTAAGGCACAAATGTGATACCTAATATTATTTGACTATTATTAATAGTATTCCCTTGGGTTCCAAGTGGAAGATAGGCTTTCACAGGCCAAGTACATCCCCATTTCATTACGGTTTCTACAGTCTTTAGCTGGCCCTATGATTGCCCATAAGCTTTTATCTCCTCTTCCTCACTACCCGATCTCCTCCATGTCACTCACAGACAAACGCCCAACCCATCGCTTACTTCCCACTCGGGAACCGATAGAGTGGCACGCGATTTCACTCAATGGTCCTATCAGAGTGCATCCAATCTATCTCCGTTCCCATCAGTATTTTCGTTGATTAAGCAATAGGTTTTTGATTGGTTTGCTACGCTGCCAGAGTGTTCATTATTGTTAATCCTCTCTAGCTGACCTACCCTATGATCTTCAATATCGAGGCACCGAAGGGACACCTGTTGATGAAAGCTTGCGGTGGCCTGTTGGAAATGGAAGCGCTGACTGACTAGATATTAGGCTTGAAAATCGGAATCTTGTTCCTTATGATGAGTGAGTGAAACAAGTTTCCACATTGATTTCAGCTCACAACACAAAGGCATACTGTGAATTATATGACACAAATTTTATAATCCACGAGTGCTGGTGTGGCTCATTTGGCTTATGCTTCCCTCGATGAGCGATAAGTTAGCTGGCATAGAGTCAGTTCGCAAAAGAGTTAGCTAGAGTGACTAAACCAAGACCTGACTTCAATCCATGTTGTCTTTTAACTAATGCTGCTTCGAGACGGACATGTAGGAAGGTGTAGACTGCATGGCTACCTGGGAAATTGTATAATTTCCCAGATCCATTAAGTCGCCATGTTTTTCTCCATGTTACCAGTTTTTCATGCTTAAATTTGCCCAGTAGCTTCACCTCTTTGTGTGCTTAATGAAATGTGGCAACTCGAACGGGTGCACTTCTGTGAAACGTTCCATGTTGAAATCCAGCCAATCAGTCATTCGTTGACATTAAGAACTCCACTTATAGCTAATAGATCCAGAGTTTGAGTCTCACTCCACCGGGTTCAACCTGAAGGGAGGGCAGTAAAAGTGGGTAGTATCATCGACCTCCACAAAAATAAGTGTACTTCATATAACCTGGCATATGAGATAACTGCTCCGGTGAATTTGAGTTCAAACAATGATCCCCAAGTTGACTGTCTGACTGACGGAGTTTCAACATAGAACCTTGCACAGAAGTTGAGCAACACTCTAATTTACTAAATTCAATGTAGCACATGGAGGTAGATAAAAGAAAGAAGAACAGGGATTCAAAAGAATTATAATAAGCATAAAAATATGACAGGAAGAGAGAATAGGAACATAGGAACACAGAAAGATTTAGTGGATCTGAGAAATCATACAATAACTGAAACTGCATCTGCATCATTGAGAACGAGAATTTTGAGTCATATCACGCCAAAGAGATCCCTACGCATAATGACAACTAATCAACAACGACAATTACACATCATACGCTTGTTTCCCCTTTAATAATTTATAACTAAAGCGAAAATAAATGCTTGTACAGAGTCCTTTTGAATAGAGAGGTTACATCATAGAAAGGACACCATAAACTTATTGGAAACGTTCGTGTTATAACAGGTTACTAACAGGACAACAAACAACATTGTACTGAAGTCAATTTATCGTAGAAAGTATAGGTCTCATGGAAATATCTTGTTTGTGTATTTTCGACAGGTCATAACATAACGATAAGACATAACAAACCTTCCTGCTGATTGCCTCCAACCATCTAATATCATCACAAACAATGTACACCGTGATGGCGAGTTACCTAGAATGATGGCCACATTACAACCTGACTGATAGAATTCAGTCTACACCAAAGAGAGGACTAGATGCATCACACTAGTTACTAGTGTCAAATCAAAACATAACATATCAGGCATTGTAATTTCTGTTATCGATCAATTTTACTCTAAAATAGCTCTCTCAATAAATTTCTCAATGAGCTTCTCAATCACATCAGTTCTGTGTTTGTTTGAAGTCTCCATTTTAGACTTCAATGGGTCGTTTGAAATGGATTTCATCTTCGTAGAATAGTCTGTCTCGTCCATCAACGCTACACCTGACTGACTGAATTCCAACAATGAACTTTGTGCAAAATTTGAGCACCACTTCAAGTTGCCACACTCCCTCAATGTATGACACAAAGGATGACAAAAGAGAGAAAAAATCATTCATAAGAACTGAAATAAGCAGAAAATTGAGAGGGTTAGAATAGTAACATGGAAAAACAATAGGGTTTCAATGGGTATGGAAAATCACAGAGAGTGAATGCATCTGAGCCATTGAGAGCGATTTTGAGCCATATCGCCAATTGCCACCAATTGTCATTGGTTCTTAGAATCCCAAGAACCACAAACCAGTCAACCACGTAATCTAAACATCCCTACGTGGTTCGCTCAAACTATCAAAGATCTCAAGGACTGATGAGAAGTTTTCGTTTGACCACCACTGCCTCTTTTCCAATCTAACCCTATGTCCGCTAACGCTGTCCACCAAGGAAGGCGATGGCTAGACACGTCAATCGATGCGGCTTCACAACCTCACCAAGTGAATTCCCCCACTACTAACCTAACACGGCGCCTTGCATCAGAGGTAGTGTGAAACCACTCCTGAGTCTTTATCGGATCTTAATATTACGATTATATTATGAAGTTTCCTTGAGACGATGAAGTGCTTTTTGGTTTTCTTCAGCCAGGATTTTCGACTGCATGCGGTTTGTGAAGTTAGATATTGGTTTCAGATGTCGACCAAGTTCAGACTTGAGCCAGACTGTTTTTTTATTTCATTTTAATTCAATTTTGATTTTCCCATTGATTGATTGAACCGAAGTGTTCGGCTTCTGTTGACATGTCGGCTCCTACCTAGTACGGACGCTTTGGCAAAGTCAGAGGATTAACTTGAAGTAATCTGGTGTGGATGGTGACTAGCGGTGAGTGGAATCCAGCATGCGCATTCCAACCTCCTATCTGGGACTGGATGTACTTACACCCCTCCAGTGAGTGAAGACGGTGTTTCCCCGACTGAGACTCAAACCCAGTGACAACCCATCGTTTCAAACTCCAAAGTGTTATGCATTAGACCATTTTGGTAATGGGCACCAGTAATCATCTGTTTTAATTCAATTTCGATTAACCCCTTAAGTGATTGGACTAAAAGTGTTCGGTCTCTGTTGGATACAAAGCCTTGGTATTTGAATTGATGGGTTATCACTGGGTTTGAGTCTTAGTTGGGGGAATATCGATACATTCAGCTGGCGAGTAGTTCCAAATAAGACGAAATATGCATCCTGGATTCCACACTGTTAGTCACCATCCCCACTGAATTACTTCAGGTTTCTTTCGTCTTTGTTCACTGGTATTAAGTTATTCCGTGGATAGAATGGATTCTCAACAATGTCACACAATAAAAACAACAACAAAACATTACAAAAACTTACAGAGAAAATTTGCATTAACTCAGTAGCATTATGTTCTTCCGTTTTATTCAATGCGACAAATCGGATGTCATTCGGTGGTTTGGCATCATAATAGAAAGGTGGTTTTATAGTGTCCAAGTCATGCGTTCCTATAGCTACCAGGGATCGTTTCCTAAAATAAAATAAGAGGTTGAAGAAAGAGAGAAACAAGAATACATGAACGACACTGTAAACATAAAAAACAGAAGAATAGTTACGCAGCTGAAAGTACGAGACATACACATATCTGATTTCGATAGAGCGAAAAGGTTGAGCGGAAAGAACATTCTCCTTCCACAACTTCCTCTTCATATGGCTTCTACACTTAGTTACATGAACACATCATATTTAACGAGTAATTGTTACTGACAAAGCTAGTCTAGTCTGCTACTCCTCTAGTTTTACCGGACAGTCCTAAGCCCAGGAGAAGAGGGATAGTTGGTTAAGAGGTAAGACTTACGATCCTATAACAGCAAATCAATTTAAGCGCTGCAGAAACTTCAAAGCACGACAAAAAAATATATGAAAAAATGAACTTATTCTTCTCTGGAGTCAGAGAGACGGAATGATGCCGCGCACTGGTGAAAGCCTTCGCGGGGCTAGCTGTTATCCAGCGAAGGCGTGTCTTCTTTCGACGAAGTAATTTGGAAATTACTGCAACACTATGGAGTGCAGTGAGCAAATCTTTATCAACTTCATTCAACGACACCTATATGACAATGCCATCTGTCAAGTGATCCACAACGGAATAATCAGTGAAGCCCATTTTGAAATGAAGACAGGAATTATACAAGGCTGACTACTATTACCGATGATACTCCTAATCGTTGACTGGATTATGCGGGAGACTGTGTATGGGAACAAGAAGATAGAAATACGTTGGACCAACAACAAGACTCTAGAAGATGTGAACTTCGCGTGGACTATTTATCTCATATCACATAAACACTCGAAGACTTAGAGGCGAAAACCAACAAGTTGGCAGAAGCAGCGAAGACATGACTGCAGGTGAACATAGAGAAACCCGACCGAAAGCTGCTACCTTGACGTGGTGGTCGGGCTTGAACACCGCAATGACCCAACAAGCTATACTGCCTGAGACTTATGTCGATTGAGGTCCTACCATGCCAGAAAGGTTGTTTGGATAGCGGTTAGACAAAAAGCAGCTACCCAATTCAATGCTATGACTCAAACAAAATCACAAAATATCATAATGGATCGGTCGGGGCCCGGATTAACAACAACAGCGCTTCCTGCTGCCGTATCACAGGGCAGAAGTGATAAATATGCTACTGAGACACACCAAATAAAAAAGAACAAACAAAAACAGGCCGCGTGTGACCGGTCTCAAGCAGTTGTCCCCTGGGCTCTGCGGTCACGCAACCAACTTCCACGGTGTGGGCAGCCGGGAAGTAAAAATCACCCTCACAATCCAAAATGCACGCGAAGCCTCTCTAATCCTCACTCATCTTTGTCTTCACCTTCACCTCTATTATCTTGCCTTCCTTCTACTGATGCAACTCCTCTACTTGATGGCTCTTCACTCTGTGTCCACAAAAAACGACAGAAGCCAAAAAACCACCACCGATAGTCTCCTAAAGCCACGCCACCAATTTCATATAGGATCATTTAATGTTAAGACACTTTGCCAAATAGGACAACAAGCATCACTAGCCAAGACTGGCATCCCGAGCCATTGATGTATGTTGTGTTTCAGAAACACGCATACAACACCCAAATGTGGTTATTCACCTAACCCTACCTGGCCAACAGCATGAATCTGCAAAATTCACCTTGAGGGTGTCAGGGGATGCCACAGCTAGCTCACGACGATTAGCTGGTGTAGGGATAGCTTTGAGTACTAGGGCAGAAAAGACATTACTTGACTGGATCCCGGTAGATAGCCGAATGTGTGCTGTCCGTCTGAACGGAACAGTAAAAAAGAGAAAGGACTGCACTACTCGCCGATGCCTTTTCGTAATCTCCGCCTACGCCCCCACTGACTGCAGTTCGGATGAAACGTAGGATGAGTTCTACCAAAAGCTGTCTAGTTTGCTGCGAAAGGCTAAACACTCAGATATAGTCGTTTTAGCTAGTGACTTTAATGCTCAAGTAGGGAAATTGTGTCAATCTGAGAAGAATGTCGGTGGCACATACGGAATTCCGTGCCAGCGAACCGACAACGGTGACCGTCTCCTACAGTTCTGTTCAGATAATCATTTGTATCTTGTAAGCACTAACTTCAAACACAAGGAGAGACACTGTTTGACCTGGCGACCCCCATCATCAAACCAACGCTGGACACAAAAAGACCACACAGCAATAAGTTATCGTTGGCGTGGGTCGGTAGGAGACTGTCGCTCCTTCTGGAACACGTGTGTAGATACCGATCACGCACTGGTTCGCGCTCGTGTGTGCTTACGACTGAACGGACGTAGGAAAGAGCTAGCGGTAAACCCATCACGTCCCCAGCTCGATCAGGAAACTAAGTCCCTATTTCAGGAAGAACTAGCTAAACACATATCTGAGTTCGACAGCTGTGCTCACCCTGAAGAAGCCTGGAAAAATATTGTCAGCGATAGGTACAGCTGTAAAAGCTGTGAATAAGGTAAATCCAAAGGTGAGTAAAAACCATTGGATTTTGACTGCCTTATCCAAACTGATAGATGCTAGAAGACTTATTCCGGCGAATTCCGAATTCAATGAGGAGCGAAAGCTGGACAAAAAGAAACTTACGAAAAGTCTCCACAAGGACCGTGAACAGTGGTGGGTGACAAAGACGAAAGAGATGGAAAAAGCATCGGCGATAGGCAACACTAGACAACTCTTTAGACTCATCAGGGAAACGCGTGAGTGAAGCCAAATCATAAGTGAGACTATTTCTGAGAAAAATGGCTCCTTGATTAGCTCTCAGGATAGACGACTTGAACGCTGGAAAGAACACTTTGAGGAACAATTTAACTTGCCTACAGCCACACTGAACCTCCCCGCCATCCAGCACACACCCGAATTGGATATAGACACTGGTCCGCCGTCTGTAAGTGAGGTCACAAAAGCTATCTGTAATTTGGAACGAGGCAAAGTGGCAGGACCCGACGGAATTATTCCGGAGGTGTTTAAATATGGAGATGACATACTTGTATGTAGATTAACTAAGGTACTAGGTAACGTCTGGGAATCAGAGACGGTTCCATCAGACTGGGGTAAGTCACTTATTATACCAATATTCAAGAAGGGAGACAAGTCCTCATGTGATAATCATAGAGGAATCAGCCTAACGAACATAGTCTCTAAAATCCTAGGCTCAGTAATCATGAACAGACTAAGCCGAACTCGGGAGGAACAAACGAGGGAAAATCAAGCGGGCTTTGGGCCAGGTAGAGGGTGCATAGATCATATCTTCACTCTCCGACAGATCCTAGAACATAGATACACTTTTAGGCGTCCAACAATTGCCATATTTCTTGGCTTGAAGGCGGCCTTCGACTCCATGGATCGAGAGGTACTATGGCAATGTTTGACTGTGAAGGGAGTACCAAGAAAGTACATTGTACTAATCAAGGCACTCTACTCAAACTCACGTAGCCGTGTAAGGGCTTATGGGGAATTGTCATCTGAATTGATAACAACCAGTGGTGTCCGTCAAGGATGTCCACTTTCCCCTTTCCTGTTTAACTTCATCATAGATATGCTAATGGAAGTATCCTTAACTGAACTTAACGACTTAGGAATCGACTTGTTACCAGGGAATCGTCTTATGGACTTAGAATATGCAGATGACATAGTCCTGTTAGGGGAGGACGCTGACAAAATGCAGAGTCTTCTGAACACCTTGAGCAGCAATCTTCGTATGTTTGACATGCGATTCGCCCCTGTAAAATGTAAGCTGCTGCTGCAGGACTGCACTACGTCAACTCCTAGCTTAGTGATAGGGAATGAAGTGATAGAACATGTTGACCACTTCACCTATTTGGGAAGTTGTATCAGCACCAACGGATTGATTGATTGGTGACGAAATCTCAGCACGGATCCAAAAAGCTCGGGCTGCTTTCGCTAACTTACACCATCTTTGGCGTAGGCGTGACATCCGGCTATCAACTAAGGGACGTGTGTACTGCTCAGCAGTTCGCTCCGTCCTTCTCTATGGCTCTGAAACATGGCCAATACGAGTTGAAGACATGAAAAGGTTGACTCTTTTTGATCATAGATGTCTATGATCTCTTTCTCACGTTAGGAAGTATAATAAGGTAAGTAATGTTCACGTTAGGCGTAGAGCGTTGGGCAAAGAGGGAAAATCAATCGAAGAGGCTGTAAAGTTACACAGATTGAGATGGCTAGGTCACGTGCTGCGCATGCCTAACCATCGCCTCCCCCGACGGGCATTACTAGCTGATATAGGTGCAGGTTGGAAAAGAGTAAGTGGTGGCCAAACAAAAACATGGCATCAATCCATGAAATCCTTGACAGTTAAACTGAATCAGGTAGGGAGATGTGGACTTCCGGGTTGGGGCCCTCGGGACTCTAAGAATCAATGGCTGGAGACAATAGGTGACATGGCTCAAAATCGTTGTCAATGGCACAGATGTATTCAGTCTCTGTAATCTTTCATATTCTTTTCTACCATTACTCATTCTGTTTCACTATTATACTTGTCAAAACTCTATTGATTCTCTTCACTAATCTTCTTATCTACCTTTGTGTGCTATCTGGAGGTTGGCAACTCGGACTGCTGCACTTCGGTGCCAAGTTCTATGTTGAATCCAGACAGAGAGAAGATAGGGAAAGCAGAAGCGAAAAGGAAAACCGACAACAACAACCAGAGCAAATCACTATCAATAGAAGGAACGTGAAACATGTCACTTCACTTATCTAGAAAGCATCCATTCAACTACAGTCAGCGGAATGGATGAGGATGCCAAAGGAACCAGGATCGGAAAGACATTCACCACTGTGAAATCAGTTTGGGAATCTTCTGTCCTCCGTAACATAAACAATACCAATGTTAAGTCAGTTCTTTTCAATGATCCAAAAACTCAGTGCATAAGTTACAAAACGCACCGCTGACAGACTACTGCAGACTTATATCAACACCTACTTTCACTGCATCCCTATCAAAGGAATTAGCAAGAAGAAACTCTCAGAACGAACTAATCAAGGACCTACTGCTTAACAAATATTCGGAAAATGGAGATGGATAGCATGTACGCTGAGCAGACCGTCGAATGACATCCTGCGCCAATCAGGTCATCGCTCGAGTGTAACGTGGATGGGAAACGACTTGTTGAGCGTTTGTCCAAGGGTGACATGGAGGATATCGTGTGAGAAGGTGAAAGCTTTCGGGAAACCGTGGTGCCAACCAAAGAGGATTGCAGAAAACGAGACGAAATGGATATGTGCCCCGGTTGAAGCCATATGTTCGACTAGGAACCCAAGGGAATAATAAAAGTAAAGTTTAGAACAACACTAGTAAGCGTCAACAGTATCTCCAGATGTCTCATCAGGCTTCACACTCTAATACACCCACATAACTTGACAAATAAATACAATTTTCCCCCATCATACCATTAAATATAAACCAATCATGGTGACTTGTCGATAGAAAATATACGACTGTGTATAAATTATGCAATTAGTCATGATAATAGTGGTAATAATTCTATGCATAACAAAGATGAAAAACGACCACTTTGTGATAACAAGAATCATGAAAAAAACTGCATGATTAAACAAACAAATATTCAGATAGACGTAGTCGATAAAGACTACGAAAAACGGAGCCCGGTGCAGTAATACTAGGCTGTAAGGCGAAGTAAATAAACTTTTAATGAAGACAACGCAAGATTAGATGATAAGAAAGGTATTACGATTATGCACACCTCTGGTGAGGTCAAAATTAGAAGCATGCATCCAGCCCATTTCTTCAGGAGGACCCATATATTATAGAAAATACTCAAAAGGCAACAGGGGTTATTCCTGAATTGAGTAATATATTAAACGATGAGACTCAGCAGTTTGAATCTCTTCTTTTTATCACATCGTGCTTATAGAAATCCCATTACGTCCAAGATTGTAGGGAATGACTAGGGGCTATGATCTGTCTTTTCTTTTCTCTTTCTCACTAGGTGGTTGAAAGACCTCAGGCGATATAGAAGGAGAGTTTAACAACCAAAGAGGAAATATGTTGCCGTCAAGTACGCTGGTTATCCCAACGAGTCACACAAACTATTCGGACCGATTACTAGAAGAAGCGGTGTCTGAGTCCTTATCAACTGAGTCGTTTAAAAAAGGACTCACTAAACTCAGCAGCGTATAAGTAAATGATTAGCACAGGCCTCAAATCTCTCAATCAAAACAATCCAAATCTAATGAACTACACAATGCATTTTTATATGAAGTACATGAAAAAGCAAACAACAAAAGGAATACCTGCACAGATTCTGATGAAGTTTCTCCTGGAGATCTATAAAACTATTTAAACGGGATTTATCTAGAACAATATTTCTTAATATAGCTCCAACAACAAAAGGTCTAACAGCCTGAGTCTATTGAACAAAAATATCATAAACAATTAGACACATTCCAGATTTACTGAGGGCAAAACGTGCATTTGTACAGGATTTTGAGTCTTTATGCATGTATACAGTGGAGTTTTCATCCTGAAATAATTTAAAGACGAACATATCGTCTTACTTCGATTCAAATATCATCAGTGCACGAGATAAACCCTCTGGACAAAGTAAATCATATCGATTGGCAGGAATTTCGACTTTATACACTGGCTCCGTGCTAAGACCCTTCGACTTTTCCATCCCTTTCTCTCGAGTAACCATTTCTTTCTCAGTGGTCTGAAACATGCAAATATATTTGGGGAATATTTTCCTACAATTTCATCCAACTCCAAGCCATAACTGAAACATAACTCTTCAAACTCTTCTTGGGCTGAAAACATCAAAATAAATTTGTAAATTTTAGGAATTACAATATTCTTTTTGTAGCTTTTGAAACAATACAGACTGTAGGATGGATACGATGGGCATTTTCAAAAATTCCTCAAGTCAAAGATGACCTTCGCATAGGTCAATACTAGCAAGTAAAAACACACAATTTCAAATCCTGATTCCTTGATGTTAGAGAAGTACTCAAATAAGAGCAAATTACTGATATATGTCACAAATGACATTTTATAAATGCAAATTTCAAACTACCTGTGATTTCAAAAGATTATAATTATATGTAAATAGTTTGTAAATAATAGTAAATTAATAATCCCCATTGAGACATAAACAATGGGGAAAATTAATTTGAATAAAAAGATACAGTAAATCATGGTGGTCAAAGACCTGAATGCGTCTTTACATCACGTCATCAAGCTTGCATTGGCAAGAAGCAGTGTTCAGTTTTTCATACATTGAAAAAAGAAGAAAAATGGGGGTGAGAGAAGACAGAAAACAGAAAAATCTAATAAACAGTGTCAACATGGCAACTCAACAAGGTCAAAGTTCATCAATTTGAAAACTTGCTTAGTGAGTTGACCTCACTAGTGTCTATGAGTAATGAAAGTGATATGGTTACCAAGGGAGTGAGAGATTGACTACACTCTCTTTCTGTGTGCATAAGTTTGGTCTGAGACGTTTGATTGCAATTGCTTCAGCAAATCGTAGTAGATTCGCTGTCGTTTGTATGTTTGATATTTTGGAGGATTTGGAAATCTCGACAAAATGACCCGTATCCACAAGGTGTCTGGTAATTGCACTTTGTAAATATTTGCTTCCTTTTAAGCATAAGTTTCTCGGAATATTCTCTGTAAACCTGATAGAAGCCCTCCTTTCTGTCCTTCCGATATACTTGCTGCCGCATGTCCACGTAAATTTATAAATGCAGTTGGAGGTAAAATCAGCAGGGTACTTATCCAGTTTCGATTGGCTTATAGAGCATGTAGCACTGTATAGTGTCACCAGATTGGCTGCGGGGAAGCATCTCTTTATTGCTCCTTTCATTCTCTTTTCAATCTTTTGCGATACTGTTTCTCCTTTGTATGGGAGGCAAATGAACACTTTCTTCTTTTCAACTGTTGGATACTTCTCTTTCTCATCTCTTTTTTTGCTGTACTTTAGGATAAATCCTTTTGGATACCAGTTTTCCTTAAGGCATTTTTCAACAAAGCTTAATTCTTCTTCTATCTTGTTGGGTGAACATAACTTCCTAGCCCTGCTGTACAGTGTCCTCACTAATCCCCGCTTATAGCTCATAGGGCAGAAGCTGTTGTAGTGAAAGTATTGTCCGGCCCAAGTTTCTTTTCTGTAAATGGACTTTTTGACCGTTCCATAGTCTCTTCTTTTTACAGTTAGGTCTAGGAAATTGAACTCATCGTTGTGTTCGTATTCCATGGTGAATTTAATGTTTGGGTGGACCTCATTTAGGCGGTCATATAATACGGATGCCTGACTCATGTCGTTACAAACAACAAAAAGTATCATCGACGTATCGACGGTAGTATGTTGTTTCATTGATAGCGTCACTCAGTCGCGTCTGTTCGAAGAAGACGTCTTCTAGAATGGGTCCTAGAGGTGAACCCATGGCGAATCTACTACGATTTGCTGAAGCAATTGCAATCAAACGTCTCAGACCAAACTTATGCACACAGAAAGAGAGTGTAGTCAATCTCTCACTCCCTTGGTAACCATATCACTTTCATTACTCATAGACACTAGTGAGGTCAACTCACTAAGCAAGTTTTCAAATTGATGAACTTTGACCTTGTTGAGTTGCCATGTTGACACTGTTTATTAGATTTTTCTGTTTTCTGTCTTCTCTCACCCCCATTTTTCTTCTTTTTTCATAGTTTGATAGTATATAAATTGATGGTAACTTAAACTATAAAATTTAATTCCTTATATTCCGGATGCGTTCATCTTATAGTGCTTTCTCTATTACCTTACAAACAGTGAAGTATGAAATGTTATTATTTATAACCATTGTAATTTCAGGTAGTTAGCAGCTGATGAGAACCTTTGAAATAGAATGATATCATTTTATACTGCAGATCAGTTTTCCCTTGTTTTGGTAACATTTCGAGCAAAATGACTGCCCGTGATCATACCAACTGTTGAAATTCTTTTGTTTTTAATTCACACTTTCATGATTCGTGATCATACATATAGTTCTTGTTTTGTCCATTCATTTATGTGTGTAAAGAATTATATTCCAGTGTGCTCACAGTTGTGCCAAGTCACCCTTGTTACATGTATCTGGTGTGACCTCAATGAATATATATTCTGCCATAAGTTCCTCATGCCACTTGTTCATATTAGATTTCAGAATACAAACATTGTTCCAATTAATATTGCGGTTTTTGTCCCATGCATGTGCAGCTATAAATGAATTGTCTTCCTAAATTGTTGTAAGCTCGTGTTCCTGTTGGGTGACCTTTAGTCAGGCGTTTACGTTCATTCTCTCTTATTTTGAGTATCCTGGACGTTTGACCCGCATACTTATTCGGGCATTCAGCACAAAATATTTGCGCATTAATTTTACTCAGAATTTTCATTAGATCTTTCAGGTGATTTAACTTATTTACTAATTAGATTCGTTGGTTTAAATGTTGTGCGAATTGCAATATTTTTGAGGTTTCTTCTCATTGTCTTTGACGCGCCATTTTTGTATGGTATTGTGACTGTTTTTTGCCTTCCTCTTTCTCGTCATTCTCTGCGTTCGCCCTCTTATTTCTCTTCTTTGTTTTATCTCTGATGAATTCTTCTGGGTAGTTGTTGTCGAGTGACATTTTGAATTATACGTTTATTTCTTTTGGCTGGTAATCTGGTGTTACTGTAGGTCTAGGTATTCCATCTGCAATAGTGTGTATTAATCCCCGTTTTACCACGAGTGGATGAGCTTAGAGATAACCAAGGAATCTTCTAGAGTGTGCAGTCTTCCTGCAAAGCTTCGTTTTTATGCTACCATCTGTTACTCTTTGTACTTTGCAGTCTAACTTAGGCAGTCCCTCAATTCCGTTCTCTATTTCTATGGTGAATTTTCTGAATCTACATGACCGTTTCTGTGTGGGAAGAATTTTTCAACATTGTTCTTTTTCATTATTACTAACGTGTCGTCTGTATATCTCCAACAACATTTTATTGATGACCTGAATGGTTTAAGTGCATTCTCTTCTCGAAAATCTCTGAATATTTCAGCTATAATTGAGAAGAAGGGTAATTTCATGGCTACTGCTTGATTTTGTTGATATATTTTTCCTTCGATTGCAACATATGTTGTTGTTAGACAGAATTCAACCTCTTTTATTATCTCTTCTACGGATAGTTGTGTCCTGTCTTTAAGACATCATCTTCTTTTGGTCTAGCTTGCAGTAAATTCATGGCCATTTGGATGCATATTTTAGCATAGAGACTGCTCACATCAAGGCTGGCCAGTATTTCCTCTCCATCTATTTGCGACACTCCACTAATTACTGTTGTCCATGAGGCGAGTTCTGAGTTAATTCTGGCTATCTATCTCTAGCCCTGAGGAATTCCCTAACCCAGTTTAGCAAGCTGCCCTTGACTCCAAAACCTTCCGATTTCGTAAGTAACCTTGAGTAAGATAATGTTTCAAAAGCTTTGCTGAGGTTTCGTAAGCAACGTTGGTATGTTTCTTGCTGTTTCCTGGCGTAGCTTGGCCTTCTCCTGATACAACAAGTCATGAGATGGTTCCTTGAGATATTGGTGTGATCTAAACATTTACTTGTTGTTTTCCAGATATGCCGTGATGTATTTCCTGACAGTTGTTTCCAGTGTCTTGATGTAAGTGCTGATCCTGATGCTCATGGTAGCGTTATATAGTGAGCTGACAAAGTAAGAACCTACTGGTCATCGAACTCCAACTCAAGCCTATGAAGCGCTAACGAGCTTGGGCTCATGACCTGAATATACTGAGTTCGATCCTTTGTCAGATAGCAAGTGCGTACTGCCAAGTAGTCCCCAAACAGAAAAAAACAGCTGCCTAGTGCTCCCTGGCATCCATTCATCTCTCTAACTAATGTTGATTAGAGATGAAATCTAGCAGTTTAAATTAAATCAATCCAAATCCACACGTAGACTGCAGCAGATATTCTGACACCATTATTGCAAAAGAAGGGAGGATTCCTACTGACTGGAAGAAAGGCTGGCCACCTTGTCAAATCCCAATAAAGGTGACTAACTCCTCTGAAAAAACTAGCGTGGGATGATGCTCCTATCCATGTCAAGTCGGGTCCAAGTGGCCAGTTGGCTTATGAGCTCACTTTATCATCGCATAGTCCTATGTTCAAAACCGTGTGTGTACTTATAAAGAGTCCCAGACGAGGACGAGATATCTTTCAATTACTCCCACGATTTCCAGTGATTATATGACTGGTGTCAGTTCGTGAACAAGCCTTTGACCAATCAGCTTCCTGCAGGCCGAAACTTGAATATATATAAATCAGGTTTGTGGTCAACCAACAGCAACAACAACCAGCACCAGTCACTATCAACGGGAGAGATTTGACGGAGGTTACCCCTTTCACTTATCTAGGAATCATCGTTTCAACTACAGGTGGAACGGACGAAGATGTCAAAGTCAGAATCGGAAAGGTAAGATACCTTTATCAAACTGAAACCAGTTTGCAAATCTCCTGCTGTCACTCAGCAAAAAGGACAAGACTCGAACTTTCAACACAAATGTGAAATAAGCCAGTTCTTCTACATGGGTCAGAAAGTTGTCCGCGTGTCACGAAAAGGATATTTAATGAGCTGCAGACTTTTATCAACAACTGTCTTCGCTGTCCGCAAACTGAAGATCAAATGGCCAACTGGCCAGAAAGAATTAGCATCAAGAAGCTCTGGCTGGGAACAAACCAACCAAGAGCCGACTGCCCAGTAAATATGTGAGAAAATGGAGATTGATTGGGCATACATTGAGGAAACCGACTAATGTTATTTCTCTCCAGGCCATAACTTGAGTGGAATCTCAATATGAAGCGACGTGTTGGTCGTCGGTGTGAGGGCTATAAGGAGAAGATCGCTTGGGAAGGAGATGACAGATTACTGGCATTCGTGGACCCAGATGAA